CTTTTCCTCCTTTTCCTCCTTTTCCTCCTTTTCCTTCTTTTCCTCCTTTTCCTCCTTTTCCTCCTTTTCTTCCTTTCCTCCTTTTCCTCCTTTTCCTCCTTTTCCTCCTTTTTCTCCTTTTTCTCCTTTTCCTTCCTTTTCCTCCTTTTCCTTCTTTTCCTCCTTTTCTTCCTTTTCCTCCTTTTCCTCCTTTTCCTCCTTTTCCTCCTTTTCCTCCTTTTCCTCGGTGTGGAGCTCAAACTGGAGATAATTTTCCTGCATGCAACAAGATTGACAAAATAATTTTCCTGCACGGCGCAGTAAGACATGAAAAGTGCCTTTTCTAAAGTACAATAAACAAAGAAAAGATGTTTGTGTAGGAAAAAAAATTGGAGGAATAATAGGAGCAGGGAAATTGCTCCTGTTGCTTTAAGGTAGCTTTTAAAAATAGGAGTAGTCAGTTAATGCTCCAGCCTTTTCCACAGTAAACATATAATTGTGAGCTGATTGTGGTGAATTCCTAAACAACAGCCCCCATCAGCAGAAGTCTGAAAGAGAGAACTCGACATCTGGAAGCCAGCAGCAGTCAGGATTTTATTAAGCAGCACTGCCAAATAAAATCTGAGCGCTGCTATAAATGATATAAAAATAAAGATTGGCTATGGTGTAACATCTCGAGATGCCAGCAAGTGTGCCTGGCTTTGGAGCTCTGGGAGCAGCAGAGCTTTCCCAGCAGCTTTGGAGCCTGAGGGGGACATGGTGGGTAGGGATGTGGCTTTCTGTGCTGCTTGTCATGTTCAGGAGCTGAAGCTGTGAGTGGAATAAAGAGAGAAACTGCAAAATTGCTCTCAGTGTGCCTGAGTTATTTTTATTGGAAAGGTTTTGGCCACGTTCAGTCTGTGTTGTGTACTACAGAGCTAAAGCAGGGTTTATGGAATATGATTTTCTGTCTGTGAAGGAGGTTATGAGAGAGTGACCTTATCACAGGGAGCAGAACCTGCCCTCTTCCTCAGGCTGCAGCTTGGCACATCCATTTCCAGTGCTCAGCCTGTGCATGGAGCCAGTGAGTGAATGGGTGATGGCTGTGCCAGCCCTGCCTGGCTCTCAGGGTGAGGGAGATGGGAGCCAGCAGCCATCCCATGCCTGGGGCAGCATCCCCTGGGAATGTGGCCTCTGGCAGCACAGAAAAAGGAACATTTTCCCCTTGTGCACACTCCCTTTGGTGGACATGGGTGCCCCTCCGTGCTGAGCAGGACACTGCCCATCCAGTGGAATCAAATGAGACTTTCTGTGAATTCAGAACGCTGTGATTAAGAGCTCCTTCTCAGCCTTTGTGTCTAGAAATAGCCCAGAACACCACAGCACAAAGTTCAAGGATGTAAAAGAAGTGCTATGTTAAATGAAATCCCGATCTTTCATTTTTTGAGCAGGTTTTTGATACAGCTCAGCTTGATACAACCTGCTATTTACCAGCCTGGCCTTTAATATTGGATCTGCTTTCCAATTATGCTTCAATTCATACACCAGTTGCAGAGGGCGTGTGTGGGTGTACGTGCGAGAGAGGGAGATTGATTTTGTTCTTTAAAAATGTGAAGTCTGCACTAACTATGAAAACCCATCAGAATTTCTAGCACTTAAATGCCATTTCCTTTCTCAATGTGCTACCAGCACTAAGTAATGTTCACGACATCTCTCTGGCAAGTGAAGGAGTACATGCTGCTTTTGCAGAAGTGGAATATTAATACAGATATCAGTGAAAACCAGGCTGCAGCTCCTTTCCAGAAGTAAAGAGTTAAAGTGAAAGCTCAAATTATGACTTAAATGCAAATACATTAGGTCTTAGCTGTGTTTTTCAGAAATACATGAGTGAAAATGGAATAAAGAGAGCACACGTTGCTGTGTGTCGGAGTCACCTCTTGTGTCTGGAACAGCAGATTTGGGGAACCTTTGTGCCACCACTTTGCACAGAACATATTTGAATTCCTGGTCGTTTTTCCCAGCCAGTGTCTTTTCTGTGTGCTGTATTCCTGAATCTTGGCAGTGCTTTGGTGGTCACTGTGTCCGAGAAGCCCTCAGGAGTGTTCTCTCTGCCTTTCTGTAGCTCTGACTGGTCATTTCTGTTTCCTGTAGGTTTAAAGACCTATCTGATCTCGGGTCAGAAGGTGAAGGAGCCCCAGTGCAGCTGTTCCCAAGCTTTGCTTCCTGGCTTGGAGCCTGCAGACGGAGCCAGGACTCCGGGGACGTCGGCAGCCGACAGCTCCAGCGACCCCTCCAAGACAACCAAACAGGTGGAGAAGCCCAAGGTGAGCTGTCCTCTCAAAGCAGGGCTGGGGAAACCTTCTGGGCTTGTTTATGCACTGCTTTACATATTTACATATGTATGGGTGTGTGTGCATAGAGTGACAAAACAGAGTTTGAGGGAGGAAAAATGTACCGAGTTAAATGGCTCGCTCCCCGCTTGGCAAACAATCCCTAAAATAAGGTGGTTTCACATAAATATTTCTATTTGTATTTCAGTTCTGAGAGGTCAGTGATGCTTTTTAAATGGTCTGGATTTTACAGGGGGGAAAGTATATGATTTTTTCAGCTGCTGTAACTTCTGGGATTTTCTGCTTTTGCTGCTTCTGCTGTTCCTCTGCCGTGAAGGTCATGTACCTGTGAACCTTGCCATGAGTATTCAACAGACATCCCTGCAGAAGATAATTGGATTGTTTTTGTGATGGGAGAAAATGCTCTGGTGGCTTGGGAGATTGGTTTATCTGCTTGCTCTAGAAACCTATATCTGGAGCTGAGGGCAATGATTTGTATGGATTCAGCTTGGAGGAATGATGACACTTTGTTATGTTCACACCTCTCACAAGATCTCTTGACAAGGAAATCTGTGAAACAATGTGTATTGCTTCAGAGCTTTGCTGTTACTCTCCATCTTCCATCTCAGAGCAGATTTCCCAAACAACAGATGTCTATTCTCTCTTTTCATTTGTGCTAAGAATTCCTTCTCCTGGGCTGCCTGAGGTGGGCACAGATGTCAGAGCCAGGGGTGGCCATCTGCAGGTCCCTGTCCTTACACTTCAGTGTGGTCACTCCTGACTGCATCTCTTCAATTCAGGTTTGAGACCCAGCTGACAGAGTTGATGTGGGGATAATGGATAATTTTCATGCTACTTCATTTTTACTGCTTCTCATTTTTTTTTGGATTAGGACAGCATGAGTAGGGCACCTTTACCCTGCCTCTGCTCCCAATTTTAAGATTTGAAGTAAAAACACTGGATTGCAGGTGAGATCAGCTGGAGGGCTGACCCAGAGAAATGGTCCAAAGTGGAGTGAGCTCCTTAGAGCAGGCTTAAACAGCTCCTTAGGCCAGGCTGTTTAACCACAGAGGGGGCTGTAGCCATCTTTATCCTCCCCAGAATGTGCTCTGGGTGTGCTTTGACAGCATCCAAGTTACGGGTGACATGTTGCTATTCCTTTTCCTGTGTAAGAAAGAATATATGTGGCATCCTACTGGCACCAGCTTTCCTTCTTGCCTTTCAGTGAAGGCAAAGGCAAATCAGGCAGGAAAATACATCTTAGAGCTGAGGGGAGCTGTACAGATAAAGCTGTGAGTGCTGCCCAGGCTGTGGTCCTGCAGAGCTCCAGGTGTGGCAGTGACAGAAACTCCTTCATTTCAAGCAGTGGAGGAAGAGGAATGTGCCAAGTGGAGCAGGATTGCTGAGCTGCCAGTGAGGAGCAGAAGGGAGAGAGGAGGGATGAAGCCAAGCAGTGAAGCTGCTGTTCTGAGAGACAGCGAGGATGCCTTGGGAATGTCAGACAGCAGAGGAGGCTGTGACTGAGGATTAAACTGCACTGGAGGATGGGACTGACCCCCCTGCAGCTGGGGCTTGGTGACTTTGTTATGTACAAACTTGGGCTGGTACTTAAATGATCTGGGTGCAAAATGGAGTCTGTGGTTAAGGATCAGCTCTGAAATGGGGGGTGATTTCCCTTGCACCACTCTTCCTGAGCAGCTGGGATGTGATGTGGAACATGCTGCTGCCCCACCACACTTTGTCCCTGGTGTTCTGTTCTGGGACTATTGCTGGGTTAATTTAAAATATCCTGAGTGGAAGGGATTCACAAGGATCATTGCAGTCCACCTCCTGGCTCTTGAGATGTTTCATTGCTGAGTGAAAGACTGTAGAGTGCAAAAACATCAGCATGAGTGAGATAGAGAAACTAAAAGAAGCTGCTCAGAAGAGCATTTCAGACAAGTGCCAGCCCAGATCCAGCTGCCTTGGCTGCCCTGTTGTGCTCCAGCTACTGCAGAGTTTGTGTCTGGAAGTGCCTGGTTTTGCTCACCCCCTCAGCACTGCAGCTCTGGCCAGGGATTCCCTGAGGGCCTCCCAGCTGTGGCTGCTGAGCCTGCCTTGCCCCAGGGCTCTGGTGCTGCAGGGAGTGCTGGGTGAGCCCAGGTTTCCCTGTGACTGTGGGACCCTGCCTACAGCCTGTTCTGAGCCTGGAGAGGCAGCACAGCATATGGAGCATCCCTGCCTCTCCAGCACAGCCAGCTCCAGGGATTCCTGACTGCACAGCACGCTCTGGATGTGCACCAGCCTTCTCTGTGCTGGGGACAATCACACAATCGTGGCTTGGTTTAGGTCCTTCCAACCTTAAAGCCCATCTGGTTCCACCTTCCACTATCCCAGGTTGCTCCAAGCCCTCTCCAGCCTGGCCTTGGACACTTCCAGGGATGGAGCAGCCACCACCTCACTGAGCAAACCTGTGCCAATATTTCACCACTCCCATTGTAAAAAATTTCTTCATTGTGTTGAATTTAAATTTCCTCTCTTTTGCTTTAAATATATATGTATGCTAAAAAACCCCCACAAGGTATGACTGCAGTTTGATCAGAGATCATGCACAATTTTTGAAAAGGAGTGGGTTTCTTTTTTACAGCTTTTGGGCTTTTCGTGAGGGTTTTTTTTAAAGCCTGCAGCTTGCTGGTAGGGTCTGGAGATAATCATTTGCAAAAGAATCATGACTTACATGCCGACTGTTTTAAATACAAAGCTGGAAATGGTGTCAGTGTAGGAGGAGATGACTCCAGCTCTGCAAAAGAGACTTAAGTAGGAGAAGCAAAATTACAGGCAAGTTGAAATATTTTTATTTTAAAGGGAATAAGTGGCTATATTGGATGCAAGGGATGACTTTCACATTTTGGGCTTAAAAGGATATTCTAGAGGACAAGATCTGTAAAGGAAAGTCAGGAGAGAGAATGCAACAGTAATTGATCCATGAAAGGAATTGTATTTCCTCCTCTGGTGTATCTGTAGTTCATTTAACTGCAAACCTTGTTGCAGTTTGAATGTCAATAAAATGTGTTTACATTACTGAAATGGTGAACACAGAGGGTAAGAACTCTGAGTAAATCTATAATAGCAGGTGGGTTTTTGAATGAAAACACTCTACCCTGCTTAAGTGGTTTTGGTGTCAGTTTATCTTCCCTATCATCTTTTATGACATGCCTCACTTGACAGGGAATCATAAGCTGTTGTAAAAATGTTTTAATGATTGCTTGGTATGAAAACAGAAAGTCCTTTGCTTGTCTTAGTGTTTGCTGGCAGTGCATTAATGTTTTATTCATGGCACTGAGGTCACAGCGCACAGCCTGTGAGTGCCTGCCATGGAGAGGGAAGTTAATGATGTTGACTGGAACACATGGGGAAAGTCAGAGGAACTTCTGCCTCTTCTCAAAGGTCAGGCTGCTTTTCCAAGCCCTTTGTCTGCTGGCTTCACCCTGGGAGCTGAGTGTTGGAGGTGGTCTTGCTAATTTATTAGCAGGATCAAACAGGGAGTGGTTTCTTCAATTTTTGTTATTTGTGTTTTGTCACCATTACCTGACTTTTGCCATGAATAAATCTAAATCTAACTCCTAGAGGGTTAGTAAGGCTTGGTAGCTCACTGCTGATTTATTTTTTAGTCCATCTAGCAATGCCTTCCACCAAGTGGCCAAGACATTTGTGATAGTTACTCAGAGATTATTTTTAAGCAAAACCATTTGAGAACCAACTCCACAGTTTCTTCAGCTGTGTTGGTATTTGTTCAGACTGCACAGGTTGAGAACTGGATGTAAATTGTTTATCTGATGCCAGCTTAGGAAACTCAGAGTAATTTCAGTGGCCAGCCTGGACTGTGTCCTGAGGAACAGCAGGCAGGATGATCTGCTGGCTGCTGAGGAGGCTCCAGGTCCTACATGAAATCCTTTCAGAGGCATTGGTGAGTGGGTAGATGGCACAGGGAGACTGGGCTGGGAGAAACATCTGAAAATTAAACAAGCTGGGTGTTTCCAGGTGGGACATCAAAGGTGGAAAAGGAGCATTAGGTGAAAAGTTAGTCCTGAAAAGACTCAACATGCTGGTCTCTGAAATGGGGAGTGAACCTGGAGGCAGAAGTTGTGGGTTTGGACTAGAGAGGCTTGAATGTGTCCAGAACAAACAGATGTTGAGTTTGGGACAAAAGGCTCAAGTTCTTGCTGGAAAACTTGCTGTGGTGTTTAGTAGCAGAGTTTGGTGAGCCTGGTCACCCTGAGCATCTCCAGAGCCAGGAGGGCTCAGGCTCAGGGTCCCTCTGAGCAGGATCCTGCCTCAACTCTGCCTGCACTGGAGAAGAGAGTGAAGAACTTGAAGATACAATTCCAGGCTTAATTCCCCTAAAGAAGATTGCATTTTAACTTGAAGGAATTAGCTTGTTTTAAGAGCTCAAATGCAGCATTTGAAGTTTCTTCCAAAATGCACAACCTGAAACTGGTACAAATGCTGATGGTTTTGCTTTCCTTGTTCCCTGTGACATTTGCTGGGTGTTTGGCTCCAATAGCCTGAGCTCTCCTCCCCTGTCTTAGGGCTCTGTATGAAAAAGCAAATTTGCCTTTATTCATTTCAGATTTGTTGCTTTCCATTTCCCTGGACTGTTCATAATGCATCATGGTGTTTCATGTTTTTTCTGGATTTTGCTGCATTTTGTGCTGTCTTGTCTCCTAATGGCATTTAGATCCCTTCACAGGCAGGTTTCACCCAGGGAAATTGCACTTCTCCTGCTAAAGTGTTTCATTCCTCTTGGGGAAGTCCTTTGCCTGTGCACAGTGATTACAGTGTATCTGTGATCTTACACTAGTGAAGCTTTCCTGGATTAGATTTAACTTCAGCAAACAGCAAATCTGTGATTTATTTTTGAAATGGCGCATTCTGTTCCAGTCAAATTTTGCTCCCTGCCTCCCATTCTGTAGCTTTGTTTATCTTTGAACCGTGCTGCAAGTATACAAGTGGACTGAATTACGAATTGCATCATCCTACAAGGACACCAGAACATTCCTGGCTAAAATTCTTTTGTCTCATTTCAGCCTTGCCCTTCATGTAGTACCACCCTTGCTCCCCACTGCGATGTCAGCATAGATGAAGGAGCTATCCAAAATGGTTGTCAGGATGAGCATAAAAACAGTACAAAGGTAATTGAAGTATTTCTCACTTCCCTTTCCCCCTTATTTTTCTGCTTCCCCCAGCTTTCTTATTTTTGCACCACTATTCCTTTATCTAAGCTCTTAAGCAGCAGAACTGATTCTGATTTTTTTGTGTTCAGAAATTTAGTTGAGTCTCCCTGCCCCAATTTTCAAAATTTTAGTAATTTTGTGAGCTCAGCTTGATTCTGAGAAGGACCTGAAATTAGGATTCTTTAACCTATGCTGATGGTGCCCAAAGAGGGAGGCCCAAGGAGCACTCCCACACTCTCCATGCTCACAGGCTGGGTCACCTCACACAAGTTCTGTGTCTCTCCAGCATCTCCTGCATCACCACTCTAAGACAAGGTTGTTCCTGTTCACACACAGAATTCACAGCTTTCTGTCACTTTGCATCCTTTCCTGACCTGCAGAAACAGCCTCTCTCATATTCCTCATGCTGCTGCCACGCTTGTTTCCTTGCCTGTTGCTTTGATATTCTCACAAAAGCCACCTAATTCCTGTGCCATGCCAGACACTGCCTGTTTGTTGTCCTGTTTGTGGCCTTTGCAGCCTCTCTGCTCTGCCTGTTCCCTCTCACTGCTCCCTGAATGTTCACCTAAATGCAGACTGAGGACCAGTGCTCATTACCTGGTTGTTACATATTCAAATAAATAGAATGTTTTCCTTCCTTGGGGTGAATCACTTCACAGACACGCTCTGAGACAGTGAGCTTGTTCTTCATGTCTGTCTTACAGCTCTTCTCACCAGTAAAGCAGATTGAAAACCTTGCCAGTGCTGAGCCACTGCATTAATGTGTGTTTGTCCCTCTCTGTACTTGACATGTTGTCTCATGCTGATGCTAAGCTCAGGAGCAGGGCCTGCCTCACTGGGCTGGAGGGGTGTGTTACACAGCAGCTCTGTGCCAGAGTTCCAGGAAACAGCCTAAGAAAAGAATAAAACCATGATCCCTTGAGCCCTGAGGGAGGTGTCAGCAGGGACATGTCTCAAACCAGCTGGAGATCTCTAAGCCAGAGAACATGTGGGAGATCTGCCTGGGCTGCCAAGATGGCAGGCAGGAGATGCTTCTTCCCCAGGTGGCCTCTGCCCACCTGCAGGGATCTCCAAGAACCAGCTGAGGAGGGATTGACTGTCCTTAGGTGCCAACTGCCTGCTTGAAATTGCTTCCTACTGTACCTGCTTCATGTGTGTGAATCAGCAAATCATCTGCCCTTCCTTGGAGGAGATTTCTGTACAGAGTTGAGGAAGAGCTCTGTAATTGCACTGGAGGAATTCCAGTGGAGCCCAAGTCTCACTCCTTGGGTTTGGTTTGGTTTTTGCTCAGCCCAAAATGGGAGCTGTGTCATGGCTGTCAGTGAGTCTGGGATGCTGTTCAGCTGAAGGCTCAGAGGACAGCCCCATGCACAGAGCTGCTGTGGCATTTGGTTCCCAAGCCTTCCTTGCAGCCTCAGCTCTCTTGGGAAGCAGAGGCGGAAGCTCCCTCTGCCCATCTCTGTTCCCTTCCCACAGCCCGTGCTGCACTCCAGTCCCTCTCTTTGGGAATGTTAATGATGTTTAATCATATCCTTGGACTTGTAAGCCTCTGGAGCTTCCTTGTCTCCTGCTGCGAGGAAACTCCACACAAGCCTCCAAGTTCTCAGGGAAACCCTACAGCCTGTTCCTTCAGAAGTCCCAGTAATGTTGGAGCTAACAACATTTAATAAATAGGGATTTTCTCCCACACAAACAGTTTCATACTCTAATCCCTGCCTGTAAAGATTAACAGAGCACAGAGAAACCTTGAGCTGACTGAAGGGAAGAATTTTCTTGGGGATTTGAGCCTTTGCCAAGAAGCTAAAGAGAAAGTCCATGCTGACCTTCTTTGAAAGAGAGAAAATTTCACTGCATTTTTCAAATGATCTTGAGGAACAGCAGGGGAAGCAGACAGTGCCTAGGAGTCCAGATCTTTTGTTTGAGCTGATTATGGCAAAAACTGAGTTCTTGGTTTCTGATTTTCAAGTAACAAGTGGCTGCAGTGGTGAGGAAGAGGAGAAAGATTATTTCACAGGGGGGAAAAAAGATTAACTATGACTTTCAGTTTTTCTTTAGGCCTCAGGTTGTTCTGGGAGATGCTCTAAGCAAATACAATCTTTAGCATAAATTAAGAAAAACCAACCCACCAAGCAATGAAGGCTCTCACTAAGAGCTAGTTGGTCAGTTGATTTGGTTTCCCTTTGCTGTCCTCCTCACCCCAAAACCAGAGGGGTTTGCCCTGGTGTGACAGCATTCACAGGGGTCTGAGGGTGAGGGAAGAGATGAGGATCTGACTCCATGTTTCAGAAGGCTGGATTTATTATTTTATTATATATATTATATTAAACTATACTAAAAGAATAGAAGAAAGGATTTCATCAGAAGGCTGGCTAAGAATAGAAGAAGAAAGAATGATAACAAAAGTTTGTGTCTCGGACAGAGAGTCTGAGCCAGCTGACTGTGATTGGCCATTAATCAGAAACAACCACATGAGCCAATCCCAGATGCACCTGTTGCATTCCACAGCAGCAGATAATCAATGTTTACATTTTGTTCCTGGGGCCTCTCAGCTTCTCAGGAGAAAAAATCTTAAGGAAAGGATTTTTCAGAAGATACCATGGCTGCAGGCTGGCTCTGCAGGGTGCTCCATAGCCCTGTTCCCCCTGGGCAGCCTGGATAACCTGGCAGAGGTGTAGGAGCACTTGCTCAGGAGCTGCTCAGTGTCTTCTCTTAGAAAAGAACCTGGTGACATTTTATGTGAGAAATCCTTGTGCCTCTCCCTTCCAAGAGTGTCCCTGTGTCCCCTGGTGAGCCCCTGCTGGGATCTGTGGCTGCAATCCCCTTTCCCTGCTGCTGATTCTGGTCTGCAGCAAAGCATTGGCAGCACCCCAAGGAAACCACCCCATTTCCTATTCCTTCCTCAGCTGCTGTCACTGTGCTGGGAGCACCTGCAAGCTGCCAGAGCAACTGCTGTGAGGGCTGGAAGGGCCCAGACTGGGCCTCCTTCCATCTCCTGGCTCCCAGCACGTGGCTCTGGGGCTCCCACAGGCCGGGGCAGCCCACAGGGTGGGGATCCCCATTCCCCCAGGAGGGAGGAGGAAGGGCAAGCACAACCCACCTCCCTCCTGCTTTTCCTGCAGCTCCAGGGAGCCATTCCAACACACCTTGTTGTGCCTTCAGCTCTGGAGGTGCTGGCTGTGACAGGAGCCAAGGCCAAGGGCTTCCTGACCCTGCCCTGCACAGGGTTCTCCTGCTGCCCCCTCAATCTTCTCTCTACCCTGAACCTTTCCCTTCACCTCTCTGTGTTCATGTGCCTCCTTTGCTTCACAGGACACATCACACAAGGAAATGGAACTGATTTTGCATGGGCAGCCAGAAAGAAGATATTTTTTAACTTTAACTAAGTTGATTTTACAATGTCAGTAACATATTTCAGCACGTGGTTGGGGTGGTGATGATATTTATGGTATTTATTTATGGTCACTGTGGTGGCATCTAAGAATAGTCTTCTGGAGGAGCTTGTCACTTCTGTACAAGCAGGAATGGAGAAACTTCTGTCATGAGTGGGCTTCAGGATGAGGATAAATGCTACATGATAAGTGATAAGATATGGAGGGGGGGAGATGAACACTCAAATATGCCAAGTTTGTTCTATGTTTGCATTTGAAAATGATCCTGACTAACTGCAGTTCATTTTCATTCTAACCACACTAAGCTGTCTAATTCTTTTGGAATTGCTTCAGTACATATTGGTCTAGGTCAAACAAAATGCAAAAGAGGGAACTTCAGGCTCCACGAAAATAGAATTATTTTTGTTTAAAAGTAATTTGTGCTCTCCAATGACAGCAGAATTGGTGATACCGTGTACCTAAGCCACGTCAAAATTAAAGCTGTCTTAACTAACACAAAGGTAAAACAAAACCAGTAAAAAGAAGTGTATCTTAGAGAAGGAGATGTAGCTTAATTTGCAGGAGGTTTTGTTGCAGGATGAGATGCAGGGGTTTTTGTTGTAGGATGAGATGTAGAAAAGGGCTGATCCCACAGGTGGGGGAGAGGGGGAACCTCTGGGAAAGCACAGGCCCGTGGTGGTCAGGGGCAGCATCAGCAAGGGCTGGCAGAGTGAGCTGTCTCATGGCCCAGCGAGAGTCAGCACAAATTAAATGTGCATTTAAAATCTTTCTAGAAGAATCTTACCCATAAAATGAGTGAATGAAATTTGGGCTTGTGGTTGGTTGTCACTGAATGTGTGAAAATGTGCTTTATTTTCTGCTCCTTGCAGAGCTGGTTGATAGAAAGCACCAAGGTGGCACCTGAGGAGGCACATGGGAGGTGTGGGAGGTACCAGGCCAGGAAATGTGGATGGTTCAGGGCAGGGGCAGAGCTCAGGGTGCTGAGGGCAGAGCCCCTCTCCGTTTTTGTCCTTGCAACCTCTCCTGTCCATTTTTCTGACATTCCCTGGGTGTGTTTTGCTCTCTGCTGTCCAGGCTCCAGGAGGACACAGCCCAAAGACCCAGAATGGACTTCTGAGTCCTCCCCAGGAGGAGAAGCTGAGCAACAGCCAAACCTCTCTGTATGAGATGCTGCAGGAGAAGGGGCGCTGGGGCGGCGTCAGCCTCGACCAGTCAGCTCTGCTCCCCCTGAGGTTCAAAAACATCCGGGAAAAAACAGATGCCCACTTTGTGGATGTGATTAAAGAAGACAGGTAAGGAGAAAGGAGCTGTGCAGCCCTGTAAAGGTGAGAAGGCAGCTCTGGGTCCCATATCTTTAGTATTTGTGTGCTTTTTTCTGATTTCAGTAATTGTCGACATACAACACCTTATAAGTTTTCTGATTTTAGTCTTTATTCTGCTTAAACTACAAGAGAAACTTGATGTCAGAAACTTTCTGTTTAAAATAAGTTAAACCAGTTTTTCATTGCTTCCAGGGTGAACAGTCCTGCTGTCAGTCCTCCTTCAGCTGAGTCTTTGAAGGGGAAATTGCTCTTTAAATCACTTGTCACGAAGCTGAGCTCCATTTTATAACCCAAAGTCCTCTTAATGCATGTAGTGTGTACCTTCCTCTGCAGTTTAGGGTGTAACATAAAATCTGAACCACAAAACTCACATTTTTTTATATTAAAAGAAGAATCTGTGATAACGTGTTACTAATGAAATCCTACTGAGCTTGAAAGCAGAATTAATAGCAATGAATTCTCATGAACTTACTGTCTAGTAAAGTTAATATTGTAAGTTAAATATCTAAAGTATTGTATATCTATTGATATACAATATCTAAAGTTAGATATTGTAAAATGTGTTTCTCTCTGTTTCAAACAAAAAGGCTTATTTTGGGCAGAGGAAATATTCTTCAAAATTCAGAAATGTGGGATTTTTATCAACACACATCCATATCTCCATTATGGCAGGGACTTGACTGGAGCAGTTAAACAGATAATTGGAGTTTGTTATTATTTATTTTTATTTTGATTTCATTGCTTCCATTCAGATTGAGAGTATTTTGTCTAAATATCCTTGAAACTGTGTTCTCCTGTGGACTCAGCTGCTTGGAACAGGGACACCATCACCTGTATGGAAACATGACTTGGGCAGGGAGAAGTGAGAAGGAGGGACAGATCCCTCTCCAGTCTCTTACCTAGATTTTGTCAGTTTACCTTTATCCTGTTGCCACTTGAGTCAAAATTTAGGCTTCTTTATTGTTTTTCTCAGTGTGTGGTCTGTCATTAGTGGCTGAGAATGGAGATTTAGCTGATATTTCCAAATATTAGAAAATAGATGAATTGGGAATGTCCAGGTGTTGGCAGAAATCAGCCAGAACAAATAAGAATATTTTTTTAAATGAAAGCAGCACTCTGCAAACTGTAAGTTATAGAAGTAGCTTAATTTATGCAGCTGGTCTGCTGAAGATACCTCACTCAAGTTCTTGTGTTCTGGTGCTTTCCTCCTCCACTCCCAAAATGGGTAATTTTTTCTGATTTGGAAGAAGGAGTACCATGATTTGAGATCAGTCAAAGCCTGGCTTTTTTTTGGTCCCAATTAAATATCATCATTACCATATTAAGTGGGCCATTTCTTGTTGCCAGGGAAACTTCTCTGCTGAGTTCAGTTCATGTAAACATAACTTTCCAAAAATAATCTTCTGATTAATTAGATCTATGCAAAATGCTTTAAGCCTACCAGTTTACACTGATTTTTTCAACATTTCTCAATGAGAAATGATATGGAATAAGCCATTTTAAAAATGTTCTTGGTCCCCTTTAGTAAAACATAATGTTAGTCTTGATGAATCCAGTATCTCTGAGGATTTTTGAGTGTGAGGTGTCTCAAGGAGGGAACAAAATTTCCTCATGGTCATTTTACAGAAATCTCAATTTTCACTGAGTTCTGCTGTGTTGGTTTGATGCTGTTGCAAAGCCAAGTGATCTTCCCTGAGCACTGAGCAGTGATTTCCACTTGGATATAAATTCTTGTTAACAGAAAATACTGAACCCAGATATGGTGATAAATTACATTAATTAATGGCACAGGCTTCCTGCAGAGCTGGGAGGGGTTAAACCTCTCCTGGGGGATTCAGGAGCCTGTGGGCTGCATTGGGAATCTGGGGCTAGCTGGGAGGAAATGCTGGACACTGGGGATGTTGAGCTCAGCTGTGAGCCTGAGAGGTTTTTGCATGCCAAGATTTCACCTTGGAGCTGATACCTGGGCACAATTCCAATGTTCTTTAAAAATAATATTAATAAAGACAGTATTAGTGTGGCATGTTTGTATTAGTACATTACAAAAGAGTCCTTTTGTGAAAGTTACCAGTTCTTACAACTTGATTCTCTATATTTGACAAACAGTGAATACTTCCAGCTTCAAGTCTGGCTTTACTTCTATGAAAATCCTGTTCTTTGTTCATTGTAACCTGCACATTATTGTGCTTTTGAAAAGAAAACTGTAATGTAAGATTTAGAATGTTTGAATTTAATTTCCCTGGGAATATCCTCAAAGGATTCTTGCTTTGAGGATTTTTGTTTCCAACAAAAATTAGGTATTTCTTAGATTATAGAAGATATATAAACCTTCTGAAGTACATGAAGCAAGTACTGGGATGCTGCTCAGGGCAGTACTACAATGATCTCCTCAGACTCCAGAGCAGAATCTCAGGGATGTCTGAAGCTCTCCCAGAACTGGGTTCTGTGCACCCTTCATCCCCTCCTTGGGGCAGTTTCTTGTTGAAATAGTTTTTTATTATTTAATAATTTGTTCATTTCTTTCATTTCCCACTTCCCAGTCTTGCTTGATGTGGGGAACACCCTGTGCTGGGAGGCAGAGGCCTCCTGGGAAACAGATTCTGTACTTGACTGTTTCATCAAGTGGGATCTGCCTTTTGGAGGCAGAACGAGCTGACAGGGAGCTGAGGCCTCATGAGTGCTGCCTTCCCCTGGCTCCATCGTGTTCCACCTCCTGTTTCGTGCTGCACTGTGGAGCTGGACTGATCCTCCTACACCCTCACCAGCACCAGCACCACCTCCCCTGAGCTTCCCTGCAGCAAAAAAGGGGATTCAACAGTATTTAAAAAAATAACAACCCAAAAACTTTCAAAATTTTCATTATAAGGTGCTCTTAGAAATGTCTAAGACAGGTGAGGAATGAAGACAAGAATGAAGGAGAGAGGGGTGACTCAGGTGAGAGTATCCTGATATTTTTAACGCGTTAGCCAAAGCCAGAATGTTTAAAGATTACCAAGTATTGGCCTTATTCATGCTTAGACTCCTTTGTCTTCTCTAGCATCAGCCTAGGAATGTGTGTTTGGTTGATCTTGCATCTCAGTTTAAAAAAAAAAAAAGCTTCCCACATGCCATCTTGTGCTGGGAGCTTCCAAGAAAACCTCTTAGGCAAGAACTCCATAAAAATAAACAGAAAATAACCCCGAAACCAAACCCCCTTAAAAAGAGAATTCAGGCACAGACAAGCTCTGTAGGATCTTTCTTTCAGCTTCTTCATCTGCTTGGAATTTGACCTCATGTGCATCTCTGGTTTTTGCTCAGTCACCAGCTTGGAAATTGCCCACTGTGCCTGTGGCTGTGGTGCTGCAGCTCCCAGGGTGGGAATAGGAGCCTTGGATTCAGAGGGATTTTAGAAACAATTCCCTGTAAACAACACATGGAATCAGCTGCTTGGAAATGAGAGGAGGCTCCCAGGCAGGGAGGAGTGTGTGTGGAAGCTGCTCAGAGCAGGGGACAGGCACAGCAGTGCCACAAGCAGGTGTGACCCTGGGCACAAAGCACTCGGTGCTCTCCCGTCCCTTCAGCTCCCTGGGCCCTGCTCAGGGGACAAAAGACTGGCAGAAATGCCATCAGGAAACTTCATTCATAAACCTCATACTGTAAAACTCAGCTTCTTCCAGAGGATGGGGAATAAACCTGACTTCCAATGATTGAAGTCTCTTTTATGTTGTTGTGGGATTTTGTCACCTTCTGTAGAAAAGATGAAGGTGAAGGAGGGCATAAACACCCTCTGGTGGCTGCTGCCTCTGGGTTCCTTAGCCCTGATGTCATTACTTGTCACTGCCTTTGTTGATGGTGCTGCTCATTCCAAATCTCCCAGTTCAGAAGTAATTCTCAGCTCTCCATCTCTTCTCTGCAGCCCAGATCATTAAGGGAGTGTTCCCAGTTGAGTTACTGAGTTATTTTAGTGTCTGAAATAACAAGAAACTGCTGTTTTCTAAAATGGGCAATGGGTTTTTTTTTTCCCCCATAACAATTTGTCACCTTTGTCGTCCTTGGCTTGCTTTGAGCCATAGAATTCCACCCAAGACACAAATATCCCACAGCCACGTGGCTCCAGAGGTTGTGTGTCTGCAGCAGCAATTAACCTTTACTGTTTGCTGGCTTATGTTACAATTATCTGTACTCATCAGTTAGATCTGTTAAATTTCTGGAAGGACTTGTTAGACTCTTCCTGGAAATATAAAAGTTTGCTTTTTTTGTGGAATATTTCCTTTCACTGAGCAAGTGATGTGGGTAAGAGGATACTTTGGTGATCAGGAAAGAAGAAAAACCACAGGAACTTCAAAGCCAAGTGCCAGCATCCCTGGAAACAGCAGCTGCAGTTTGGGGGGGCTGAAGGAGGTGCAGCTGAACAAACTGATGTTGATTTTGTCCTTTCTCTTCAGCCTCATGAAAGATTACTTCTTTAAACCACCTATTAACAAGCTGAGCCTCAACTTCTTGGATCAGGATTTGGAGATGTCCTACAGGACGAGCTACCAGGAGGAGGTGTGTTTCTGCTGGCCTTGGTTTCTGTCTGTGATCTGTCTGAGCCACTGTCTATCTTGGGGTTTTTAACACATTTTGTTGCAGTTGTTTCATGAGAAGGGTTGTGAAATGTCAAATGTGATTTGCTGCTTGATATTGCTGCCTCTGTAAAGAGTCTGCTTTCAGTTTATTATAGAAATGTGGAATGGTTTGGGTTGGACAGGACCATAAAGCTCATCCCAGTCCAACCCCCTGCCATGGCAGGGACACCTCCCACTGTCCCAGGCTGCTCCCAGCCCTGCCCAGCCTGGCCTTGGGCACTGCCAGGGATCCAGGGTGGGCACCCTGTGCCAGGGCCTGCCCACCCTCACAGGGAACAATTCCCAGTTCCCAATATCCCATCCATCCCTGCCCTCTGGCAGTGGGAGCCATTCCCTGTGTCCTGTTACCCCAGGCCATCATCCAAAGTCCCTCTCCAGCTCTCCTGGAGCCCCTTTAGGCACTGGCAGGGCTCTGAGCTGCCCCTGGAGCTTCTCCAGGCTGAACACCCCCAGCATTCCAAGCCTGACATCAGAGCAGAGGAGCTCCAGCCCTTGGAGCATCTTTTGCCCATGCCCTAGTCCAGTGTTTGGGCTGGAAATGTGAGGTACACTGATTATCTCCAGGTCCAGGTTAATGTTCCAAGTCTTTAGGGTGGCCAGAGAACCATGCTGAGATGGTAAGGACCAGTTGCTGCTTGTCTTCTCATCAAATATTCTAACTTTGAGAATGGTGACTTGGAATTTGATTCTTGTTTAGTCACAGTTTCATGGTTATCCCTGTGGAATCCAAACCTGTGCTGAATTCAAATGTCCTATTTCCATAAGTGCAGCTCAAAACACTGGAATTGTAGGGAGCAGTAAATTGTAAGGAACTTGGTGTTTTCTTCAGGATTCTGCACTGAGTCTAAAAACTCCTTCATTCCCTTGGGGGGTTGTAATATCACAGGCTTTCCACAGCACTGGGTTTTCCTGCCTGACTGATAGGAACTGGCAGGATAGTTTAAATTTACCTAAAGTGACATTAGGTGTCAGTTAGAACTGAGGCTGCATTTCCACCAGCAGCTGCAAATTTGCTGCCAAGAAAAGGCAAATGCTCTGCCCTCCTTGCTCCTCCTCCTCCTCCTCCCTGCTCCTTCTGATGGCTCTGCTGCTTCTCTGCCTTCCCTGCAGTGAGCGCTTCATTTCCAGGCCTAGCATGAAATATTCATGGTTTGCTTTTCTCTTTGGGGGCTCTTTTTATTTTCTGTTTGGGGCTCTTTCTCTTTGCATCTGGGGCTGTTTTGTGCTGGGTGGAAGCAGCAGCAGCTCTGGAGGGGTTGGCAAGGGCCCGAGGCAGCCCAGATAAACGTCCGGCAGCAGGAAGGGGAGTGGGCCCTTCCCTTCCAGCAGCATGAGCTGCTCCTTTGGGTGATCCCTCTGCACAGCTGCAGCAGGAGAAAGCAGGGGTGGCTTTCTTTTCTTCCCAGTGTGTCCTGCATCTGAGGGCAGCACAATTTCTGCTTCTGCTGTTTGTTGTTTTCAGTTCTGGGCAGTGTTGTCACATTCTCCTTAGCAATATTTGCTTGTTTTTCAACACTTCCAGGTGACACCTCACTTAATTTATTGTATTTTAGCAAAGGAAAGCCCAGTTGTGCTGCAATTCAGTCTCTTCACTTCGGTGAGCTCCATGCTCATCCTGTAATTTAGTTTTATCTCTCTGCATAAAGTTCCTGTAGCAACAACAGGGAGAAACTTCCTGTGGGATGCAGCCTGCAAAATTTGCAAACTTTACTATTTTCTATTGTAAAGAAAATAGTAAAGTTTGCAAAGTTTTACTGTTTTCTTTTGTAAAGAAAATAGTAAATCAAGTGGTTTCATATATAATAGTAAATCAGTGGAAAGATTGGCAAGAGAAGCAATGCAGAGATAGTAAAGCTTATACAGATAGACCTATTAATGTAGCTATGTAGGAAATTCCTAGAAAGAGCAGAAATGTGGCCTGTGCACTTTGTTAGTGGCAGGCTAATAATTTGAAAATTATTACATAAATATCCTTGAAAGTGGGAATTTTCACTCTCTAATAGCAACTCTGCATCACTGGGGCAAAAACTTGTTAAAGCTTTTATGTTAGCAGAGTTCTGGTTCAAGACAACAATGAAACCTTTTTTATTCTTTCTCTCTGCATCACTGGGGCAAAAACCTGTTAAATTTTTTATGTTAGCAGAGTTCTGGTTCAAAACAACGATGAAATCTTTTGGAGAGTGAAAAGATTTGACAACAGTCCAGGTTCTCTAATGGCCTGACAGTCAGTGCTGCTGAAAGTGACTCCAGCCCCCCTGAATTCACCTCTGATTATGCAGTGCCAGCTGCAGGCTCAGGTTGTGATCCCTCTCTGGAATCAGCTCTGCTTCCCCAGAGCCTTCATCTGTTCTCATTTGGAAATGAAGGCACCACTTAGCACTGCTGGAGCATCTCTGGCTCTGTCACTGGGGACACAGCGCTGCTTCCCTTAATTCTATTGATGGCACTTGGTGTGCATGAACAGGATTCTGCCACCCCTTCAAGTTAAAAGGTCATTTTGGCACTGAAGTGATGCTGGCTGGATTTGTTAGGTTGCAGAGAGTACAAATGAGGAACAAGTTGGTTTCCCAGTATTGCTGAGCACAGGAAGTGATCTGAGGAACAAAAGAAACTTCCAAATTAAACCAGAGCCCTCCAACTGGGCTCCATCATGGTGACATTGATAACATAATTTCTGGTTTTCTTTGGAGCTTGCTTTCTAAACTTGGGCAGATACAAACACTCCTAGGACTGGGCTCACCTTCATAAGCCAGGATGGAGCTCATGATCTGGTTTTCAGCAGGACTGGCCATGGTAGCACAAAGCACAGCTGCACAAGCACTGGGCCAGGCCAGGATGGGATGGGGATGTGGGGTGAGGGGTTATGGAAGAGCAGGACCGGGTTCCCTGGGCTCTGGTCAATTTGGATTACACAGCTTTTAATCTGGTCTGAAAGGGAGATGTGAATTCTGCCACAGCAGTTGTGTCTGTGGAGTGGTGTAAGGAGGGTTTTTTTTAAAGTTAAAAAGGTTATAGTAAAATCTGTTCTTATTTTACAATAATAGAAGAAAATATCCCATAACCTATCTTCTACTTATTATATTTATGTTTCTTTGCACAGAATATTCAATTTTTGTGTTGTTTGATTTCTATATCATAATAGTGTGTAAAAATCACCCCAGGCCTGGGGGTTGTGCCACCAATACGTCTTCTTGACATGGTCTGCTCAGGGAGCTGTTCACCATCAAACCACCTCTTCTGCTGCTTGTTTCCAACCAGTGCTTACACTGGATTAATGAAGTGGCCAAAATTTCCTCATCCCTTCATTTGTTAGGATCTGCTGTTCATCCAATTGAATTCAACAAAATAACATTTATTCCTTTCCATCCCTTCCCTCAATCCCTGTGCTCCACACAGGTTATAAGGAATGCTCCAGTGAAGACGTTTGCCAGTGCCACCTTCAGCTCTCTGCTGGACGTGTTCCTGTCCACCACAGTCTTCCTCATCCTCTCCATCACGTGTTTCCTGCGGCACGGCATGGTGGCAGCCCCGCCGCCGCCCGCCGCTGTCGCCGTGTTCGTCATCGCCATCCTGCTGGAAGTGCTGTCCCTTGTCGTGTCCATCAGGTAAGGACAGAGAGCAGGGCTCTGCACTGCTGCCTGGCTCAGGGACATTCTGTTTGACAGCATCCCAGGAGCTGGTTGGGATGGGCTGGAAGAGCAGAGGCAGAGCAGCCAAGGCTCACAGCACAGGCTGGGCAGGGAGAGCTCTGCCTGCAGGAATTGCAGCAAGATTGGGATTCTGATAGAGTTCACAGAGGGAGATGGAATCTGCACCCCATCCCTGCCCCTCTGACTGTTCCTTGGGGTGCCACGTGCCATTATATGTCTTCTGTCCTCACAGCACTGTCAGAATTCAAACAGAAAATTTTGATCTCCTGTTCCAGGGCTTGCAAGGGTTCCTCAGGGGTGAAGAGATAGACAAGAATCTTGATCTTGTGATCAGAAGGCTGGATTTATTATTTTATGATATATTTTACATTATGACTATGCTAATAGGAATGGAGAGAAAAGTTCAGAAGCTGCTGTGCTAAGAATGGAATAGGAATGAATAAAGAAGGGAGCTCTGTCTGATTCTGTCCCAGAGAGAGCTTGGTCTTTGATTGGCCATTAATTGTAAACATGGAACATGGGCCAATCACAGGTGCACCTGTTGCATTCCACAGCAGCAGATAACCATTGTTTACATTCTCTTTCTGGGGCCTCAGCCTTCCAGAAGAGGGAAAAATCCTAAAGAAAGGATTTTTCACAAAAGATGTCTGTGACAATCTCTCCTGCAAACAAATCCACCCAAAAAACTGCTCCTTTAAACTCCACCATAAAAGTGCAGAGTTCTGGGGTTAAAACTGACACCCTGTGTCAGAGGGTGTCAGTTTTTTGCAATGCTGCCCTCAAAGAAGGAAAGAAGAGAAATTGCTGAAGGCACATTGTGTCTGCCCAGAATTAATTTTTTTTTAAGTTTCATGGGTTAACATTGAGATAGTTCATGTTTTCTGTGTCTGGCATGTAAGAAGAGTCCAGTGGGAAGGGAAAGGGGCACTGCTCTGTCTCTGCAGAAGGGGTGGCACTTGGCAAGGCTGTGCTCAGAGGTGCCAGCCCCACTCCTGAGCCCTTGTCCTGCCCCTCAGCCTCTCCTGTGCCCTCAGCACACTTGGCTGCAGGTGCCAGCATTTCAACAGCAGCTCCTCTTTCCCCATTTGTGCCCAGTCCCCCCAGTGCTGGGCTGTTCTGGGCTTCCAGGGCACTGCTGGGGTGACTCCTCCAGCCCAGGGTTACTCACACACTCAGAGCCCTTTGCTCAGGGCAGCTCCTGCTCTCCTGGGTGTAACCTGTCACTAACCCAGGGATCAACCTGGGAATGAGCTGATTGTGTGTCTGGGCCTGTGGGAGCCCCTTCACTGTGCCCTGCTCATCCTGGTGTTCCTGCCCTTCCCTGGCACAGGGATGAGGGAGGGGTGTGCAGATGGGTGTCCTCTCCTGGAGTTCTGCACATCTGTCAGGAATCTGTCAGTCAAAATGCTTTTGTAATTATGAGCTGGAAGCAATTTCTGCTGCTGTTTCAAAAGAAACAAAAGATTGCAGTTTGCACTCTCATTTTGGCTTTGCAGGGTTGAGGTTTAAAAATACTGAATTGATGTTTTAGTCACTGAAGGAATTTGTACTTCACTGGGCATATAAATGTGTGCAAGTGGATTTACATCAAAGCTGGCATGTGGAGTGGAGAGAAGCCATCTATGAAATGCTTTAAAGATAGCATTTCTTAGCAGGTGTGTTTGGCTGTTGCAATTTGAATAGTTCTTAGAAAATCTAGAAATTCAGAGAGTTAGAAGCTGTACTGGGAGATGGTTGAACTGCTAGAGTTGTCATTCTAAACTGTGGTAATATTGGTGTGTCCTCTCTCTTGCATCAGAAATGCATTTTCCCCTTTGCAGAAGATTCTGTACTCTGGTTTGGGTGGGGCAGAAGTTGAATTTCAGGCAGTTTTCAGGCAGCTCTTTCAGGTGCTCTGGGTTTGGTGGCCATGAATTGTTCAGATGGGAACAGCTCAGCCACTGCTTTCCAGAAGTGCTGCTTTCTGCTGTCCAGGTGTATTTGGAGAAGATTTGTGTTCACTTGCTGTACAGGTGAATTCTTACTTCATTTTAGTGTTTTTCAATTTGGTGTTTTCCCCACAGGACATTGCTTTTGCCTTATTTTGTACATTTATAAAAATTATTGCTATAACATTAGAAATATTTATAGGTAGATACATAAGGTTGTATTGCTCTGTAATTGGTGGTTTATGGGTTCCTTAAGGAGAAGAAAAATTGTTGTTTTCAGTCTGTATAGAGTTGGCAAAGTGGTTTTGTGTGTGAGTGGCTGTGCAGGGGTTTGGCTTCCCTGCAGCTCTGTGCTGTCAGCCTGACCTGTGATCTCCAAACTCTCCTGGTTACCTTGGGAACCAGCAGTGGCTGGATGGGACAGGTGACCTCTGCCTTTCCCTGTCCTCTCCTTCAAACCAGCAGGGATGTTTTGGATTTTTATTCTGTATTTGCTTTATAGTAAATACCCGAAATGCACTTCTGGGCCACGCCAGTCTCCATAACCTGAGGCACACACTTTGTCAGGGAGGTGAAAATCATCTTTTTCCTCTTCAAATCCTCTTCCAAGTGAGGACTGCTCCCTCTGACCACTCATTATGCACAGAAACAGTGCAGAACTTCCTGTGCAGAAATGTCATCCCAAATGACAATCACAGAATACCACTGAGATATCTTTGGGGAGGAGACTGGACTACAATGCTGGGCACACTCCCAGAATTTCAGGAAAAGGGATTATTTTAAGACCAGAAAATCCTTGCCTAAGTTTCACATTGTATTTTCATTATCACGATGCTAAACACCCTGCCTTTAAATCAGCTAAATTGTAATTAAATAATTCAATCCAGGGCTCAGCCTAGCAAGGGCTCCCCTGGCTCAGCCCAGCTGTGGGAGGGGAAAGCACAGCACTGGCACAGCCTGGGCAGTGGAAACACCTTAAAATTGAATTCTGCAGCAGCACAAGTCCTCATGGAGCAAAGCTTACGAGGGAGAAGGATGTTTTGATTCCTCTGAAGTGTCTGATAATAAATTATTGGAGTACCTATAGATGAGCATCCCACTGTTAGCACAAGAGCCACTCGAAAATTAATTGTATAAAGCTGCAGGCAAAAATTGGTGCTTCATTTGTGAGCACGTGGAAGATGTCATCTCCTCTGTGAATGTTCTCTGAAGAATGTCCTTCTGCCCTCTTGAAATGCAGCTACTTTGACGAGCTCAACTGAAGTGTAACAGATCCTAAAGTTCTGGTATTTAAAAAAACCCCGTTGTCATTGAATGTACAACGATGGGTGAGATTCCACTTGGGAGTCTGAGGAGTGGCTCTGCGGGAATAGAGATTAGAGATTCTGCCCAGCAGCTGCCCAATATTTAGTGTAAATCTAGAAGTTTTGTTCACTAGATAATTTTGATATGTTACCCTCGAGTAAAACTGCTTATAAATAAGTTTATTTACAAGAAATGTGTTGCTTTTGATAGCGTGCTTCAGTGAGGGGTGGAAGGCAGAAGAGTGGGTGTTTAGCCCTATCCAAGAGAGTCAACTTTCAGTTAATTCATGAATTTAAAAGGACCTTTCTAGACAGCAAAAGAGAATCCTCTGGATGAAGAAAGCAAGTGCAACAGCAGAGGGGAAGCTGTGCTGTTATTGATCGAAGAACTGCTTTATTCCTGATGCTTCACCTTCCCAGCCTTGCTGAGGTGCCACCCCTGTCTCTCCTCAGCCAGGACCTGTGGCCAGCGTTGGATCTTCCTGAATTCCTCATGACCAGGAGCAGAAGTTGCTCTCTGCCCCTGGAGCCTAATGAAGCAGATCTGTTAACACGGCTGATACAGAGTATTGATGCTGAGGAGAACAATGGAGTCTGTTTGCCTTTATTTATTTCTAACATCTGGTATTTAATATCCCACCAAATTGCTGCTATGCCAAAAGCTTTTGATTTGAACTCTGGGAATTGATTTTAAACTGCCAGTAAATACAAAAATGATGGTAACAGTCTCCATTAGCCATTAATCATTTATGTCAAAGTTACTAATTTGAACTCCAGCTTGTGTAAACAGCTCAGATGCTTTAGCATTTAAGCCCTGTTGAGCTGCCCACTGACACTGCATTATTTACTGATACTGCCCTGTAGCCATTAAATCTGTCTGCAGCTCTCACTGCTGTCTGGATTTAATGCACCCCTGACTTCCTGTGCTGGGAGCATTGGGCTGGATTCACTGCTAAGGAGGAGAATTCCATCCCGTAATTCCAGAGTGCAGAGCCCCACGCTAAATCCATCCCAAAAAATGAGTGCAAGAAGGTGAAGATTGGCAGGAGAAAGGTGGCATTGCCCTGGAATCTGCACCTGCCTGAATAAAGCAGAGTCCTCCTGGCAGGATTAACCCCTGGGGTTCGCCCCTGGATTTGTTGCCATGGTTCCCACAGGAGTTTGTCCTGGCATGGAGGCTTGGCAGGAAGGGAGATGCCAACCCTGGAGTCCCTGCTGTGTGGGCTGGGGTGAGAGACACGGGCTGGGCGTGTGCCACAGGGGCTGTGCCAGCCTCGGTGGGAGCGTGGGCACAGGTGGCACTGCTGCCTCACAGGGAGCCTGGGCTGGCATCCCTTCCCTTCCCTTCCCTTCCCTTCCCTTCCCTTCCCTTCCCTTCCCTTCCCTTCCCTTCCCTTCCCTTCCCTTCCCTTCCCTTCCCTTCCCTTCCCTTCCCTTCCCCTTCCCTTCCCTTCCCTTCCCGGGCTCCCAGCTCAGCCCTGGCACTGCCAATCCCAGCCATCGGTGCTGGAGGATGGGGCTTCATTTCAGAGGTGTTGTTGGGTGGTGATTTCAGACCTGGGCACAGGGACAGTTCTGACACTCTGTACCCCTTCAGAAACCCCAGTTGATATTCTAGAGACCCTTTTTAAACATCTTTTATATCCAGTTTTGAAATTTCAGTGCTTTGCTGGAAATTCGGTTTTCCGATGGAATACAGTTGGAATTTTTGGTGTGAGTGGAAGTTCATTAAACCTGCAAATCTGTGAGCACCCTCTCGTGGGCTCCGGATGAATTACAGTGTATTCCATCCTCCCAAATTCCTCATTTCCCATGAATTTAACTATAATTTACAGATTTTAACACATGCAATTAGAGAAGAGTTCTTTATGCTGCACAAAATACTTTTGATTGCAATTCACAGAATTCCAGATTGGAGAATTAAAGTCTCATTCACAAACAATTTATATTTAAAGGTGTGGAATGAGTGTCAAACTGGCATATAGAAATTGAAATTCAGCTTGGTTTGCGTCAGGTTTTTATCCCTTATAAAACCTTGTATTTCAGACAAGAGGGTTAAAAATTAATGGATATCTTTTCTCTTTTTGGAGATATAGGTGATGTGGGGTAATTTATGTGACTTTGGGGACTGGGAATTTTGTATTTATTGGGTGTTTTGGGGTTTTTTTTTCAGCTGTGAGCCTCTCTGGCCATGCAGAAGGTGTGATTCTGTATTGTTTGGCTCTGTAGTCCAGAATCACCTGCTCAGCCTGAGTCTGATAAATCCACACGTGCCATTAATGACTCTGGATGCAGCCAACTGTGCTCCACCACCTTTTTACAGCTTCTTAAAAATAATTAAGCACTTGAACAGCAGTTGCACTTTTTCTCAAGTGGCTAATGTTGAGCTTTGAGGAGGAAGTTATCCCGAAGATTTATTTCTGTGGATAAATACGAGTTTTCTATGCAATGCCCTTGAGCATTGAGCATCCTTTTCCCTTCCCTTATTCATTTTAGCAATTAGAGCTGCTCTCATTGGAGAAGCATCTCCGGTGAGCTGCTCTCCAGAGCTTTCCCGCTTGGCTCCTTCAGCGTTTCACAGGTTGGGTTTTCTGCTTTTCTGCCGTGGTTTTCTCGGCAGCTCCGGGCGAGAGCGGCTCCTTCCCGCGGGGCGGTGCCAGCCGGACTCGGCTCTGCCAGCTCGCAGCCCACGCCCCCCTTCCCCTTCCTAAAGACAGGGAATGCCGACAGGATGGCTGCTTCCAACTGGGAGAACTGGTTTGGGTTGCGCTGTGATGGGTGCAGGAGCTGCCCTGCTCCTCAGACGTTCCTGGTGTTATTTTCAGTAGGTTTCACTTGGGAAAGTTTCCCCTCTCCCTGCCTGCTTTATTTGTGAATGGAGAGGAGTCTTCTCTCTGCTTAAGCTTCCAAGGAAGTGAAGTTTGGCTTTCAATTTGCTGCCTCTCCTCACTGGAGCAGCCGGGCTGGATTATTCCCTGGCTGTCACCAGCAGGTGCTGTGGCACCTTGGTTGCTCATAGAGCCTCAGGGATGGGTTTGAAGCTCTGTTTTTACAGGTAAATGAGGGTGCAGGGAGATGTGCTGCCATTAATGCCTGGCTCCCTGCTTTCCTGTGTTCCAGGATGGCTTTTTTCCTGGAGGAGGTGATGACTTGCACCAAGCGGCTCCTGGAGGTGATATCTGGCTGGCTGCCCCGACACTTCTTCGGTGCAATCCTGGTTTCTCTCCCAGCTCTTGCAGTTTTTTCACACTTCACCTCTGATTTTGAAACAAATATACATGTAAGTTGTTGAACTCCATTCCCTAAAGTGAGTGTTTGCAGCTACCAAAGCTTGTTGCTTGCCTGCCTTCCTCCACCTCCCTCCTGCTTTACATGTGTTTGATACAGATCCCTTGGAGGGATGGGGCTTTGTGCATGATGGAATTCCTGGTCTGTTATGTAAACACAGCCATGGTGAAAACTCTCTGACAAAAGGGGAGAGGATACCTAGAAATTCCTGCTGCTTGCATACCTTTTTCTCTTAAACCAAGCACTTCTGCAGGATTTTTTTGGAGATAATTCCAGTGGTTTATCCCAGGATTATTGTCCTGGGCTGGATTTGGAGTTTGGAGTCAGAGAATTTGTATCAGTGAACCTCAACAATGGGAACAGGATTAGTGGGGGGTGTTTTGGCTTTGCAGAGTGAGATGAAGGAACTCGAAGGAGAGAGCACTTGGTACCTAGGAATGGCCATTGCAGGGGTTGTGGGAATGGTTAAAGGAATGCAAGAACTGCCTTCTGAAAAGGAAGGGAAAGAAATTGGCATGTTTAACCCAGACACAGAGATCCATAGGGAATTTGGTGTCTCTGTTATTAAAAGCACTCAGAAGGGGAGAACAAGGGGTTAAACATTCATAGACTCACAGAATGGTTTGGGTTGGAAGGCACCTCTTGTTCCAGCCATGGGCAACAGTGAGGAGGGGGGAGAACAGTTTAATTTAAAAGCCAACTGTAGCATAAAATCAAGGCTTAAAAACTGTGAACAAAATGGCCTCAAGCTGGAGATGAAAGATTGTTTCTCTGCAGGTTTCTCTTAGGCAGCACAGCGTGCAATCCTTCCTTTCCAGGATCCTCAGGGAATTCTGTTTCACAAAGCTTTGCTATTTCAGGGTGTAGGTAATGGCCAGATCCTCTTCACTCTTCCTATCCCAGCTTATTCCTGCCTCTGGGGGCTGTTTGTTCCATGGGAACATGTGACCACACATTTTTTGGTCCCTGCTGATTTAAACACACATCCCGTGGTTGTCACAGCCACAGCAGGGCGTGGCTGACATTCTGGTCCATCCCATGCTTATTTAAGATCATTCTGCAGTTTCTACCTTTTGGAGCTTTAGGGAAGAAATTTTAAGCTGCAAATTGATTTGTTTGTTCATTCAATTTAATGATGGTCTTTCCCCTCCATGATTATCAGTAAATTAACCATAGGAATGTTTTCCTCAAGGGAAGGGAGCTGAAAACCTTCAAATCTCTCAAATCTGTTGATTTTGATACCATCCCATTCATCACCATCCTTGATCATCTCTCCAGATGTTTCAGATAATATCAGAACCACTTTATGAGTGTGTTCTCAACACAGGTCAGGTTGAGTCCAACCACTTGAGGCAGCAGCAGTAAAATGGTGATTTTCATCACCAAACTGAGAATGAACTTTGCTTTTTTTTCCTCTTGCAGGTGCTCCAGAGTCGTGGGGCTGTTGGCTCACTCTCCAAGAGATGTCCCAGCTCAGCTTGTGCTCAGTGTTCCCACACTCATGGAGCTCTAGGAAATGGAGTCAATCTATAGAGGGTCAGGTAAGTCTCCTCCTTTACTATGACATGGTTTTGCAAAGTTTTTTTTTTTATTCATAGCATTTTATACCTTCCCTGGACATAAAATAATTATAAAATGAAAATTAACAAAAATAGCCATAAAAAAAAAAAAAACTTTCCAAAGCCATGCATCCATAGTAAAATCCAGCACATCCTGACCCTCTATAGGCTGGCTTCATGCTGGGGCATCACTTGGAGTGAGAAGCAGTGCCCTGCCACTTCAGGAGACCTCAAATGGGGGGAAAAAAGTAAGTTTAAGTTATGGGGTTTTTATGGACACTTCTGAAATTCCTTTATCCGTTTTTAAGTCATTAAAAAATCCAACAATTGTTGTTTGTGGTTTAAAAATGGTGAATTATGTAAGGATTTTTCCCATCCTCTGTGTCTGCTCTCAATCACATGCTTGTTTGTTATGCCACAGGACTGCCAGGCTGCAGAGTCTGCACTTCAGCTGCACAGGAACCTAAAGGGAGAGAGAAGGGGAGAGAATGATCATTTCATGCTGTAAAACACAGCACAAAGCTAGACCAGAACTCCTTCATCCAAGTGTGGAGTCTCTAGTTTAGCTTGGATGGTCATGAATATATTTGGGAAACCAAAATTGGCACATCATTGGCACACTTGAGAGTTTTGAGCACTGTGAGGTTGTACTGGGGAAATGAAGGTGCTCTGGGCAGTGCATCTGTCCTGCATTTCCTTTCCTTTATCCAGCAAGCTGTGGACAGGTAAAGGGGTTTTGAGATGAGGAATTTGGAACCTCATATCAATTAAACCTTAATGAAAATGTGAGCTTGTCCTTTGGCAGTGACTGCAGCTGCCTTTTGTCACTGGGGCAGATCCTTCCTTCCCTGGACTCAGCTGTCACAGGGCACTGTGGGAACTTCTCTGAGGAGTTTCTAAAAGCAGGCAGGTGGGTGAAGTTGCATTCTGCATTTCTAATGCATTGGAATTTCAATATTTAGTTTAGAGCAAGCAGGATCTAACCCCAGCAGTGGAGAGGAGGTTACCATGAATTTTCACTTTTCTTTTTTTCCCTTTTTGTGAATGAGAAGAGGCACTGAGCTTTGACCAAGGTAAGCTGGAGGCTCTGGAAATTACTGAAATAACTTGGTGTGTGATAAAACCTCCATCCAGGGAAAACAGTGACAAAGCTCCAGTGCTGAAGGTTTTCTTGCTGCTGGAAGGGAAGATCTCCATCTCTCGTGGGCTCACTCGCTGTGCCCGTCCCCCAGGATGAATTCTCCATGGTGGCTGTGTGGCAGGGCCCTGGGCAGCTGCTAACCCCCCTCTCTCTCTCTGTTGCAGTACACCATGTTCATGTGTTGTGCCATTCTCATCACCATTGTGCAGTACTGTAACTTCTGCCAGCTCAGCTCCTGGATGAGATCCCTGCTGGCGACGGTGGTGGGAGCAGTGCTGCTCATCCTGCTCTACGTCTCCTTGTGCCCCTCCAGGTGAGCCTCACTCCAGGGAGCTCAGGGAAACAAGGGATTTGCTGTCTGCCATGGCTTTCTCCAGCATTTCAACTTTAATGATTTTATTTCTTCATTATTTATTTGTTTTCTTGAAGGATTTCAGGGGTGCCTCTTCTGTGTGACACACTGTGCTTCCTAGGACACAGTTACAGAGCCACAGAATTGCCTTTCACCATTAGTTTGAAAATCTGTTTTATTAAGGAATTTCCCAGGTGTTTTGTGGTGCCAGAGAGCCCAACTGCTCCCCAACACCCCTCTGGATTTATTTTTGCCCTTAGGATCCACATCTTCTTCTTCCACCTCCTTCCTCAATGCATTTTCCAGTGTGGAAGGCAGGTGCTTAGGTTTAATGGGATCTAATAGCCAGTTCCATTCTCAGTTTCCTGCCTTTTCAGAGGACTCTGCAGAACTGTAACCAGAGGAATCAAGATAATGCAGTTTCTGTGCAATAACCTTAAATTTTTCCAGTTTTTCTCTGATAAATTATTTTCTGCAAGGAGAATTTGTTTGCAGTATTCTCCTGCTGTTTTCTTGTCAAGGGGGTCCTTCCAGCCTTCTACTCCTATTGGCAAAATTTTATAATCAGCTTGCACTTCTCAGTGGCTTAAGACCCCACCTTGGGATGGACTTAGCAAGGTCTTCTCCTCAATCAGTCAGTTCCTCTCCTTCAGAGACCTGCTGAATCACAAAGTGAAAAACATGAAAAAAACTCCAAACAGACCACAAAGAATTTGCAGATACATATTTTAGTGAGTATTTAGCTTTAATTGCCTCTTTCAGTGTCTTCTGTGGTCTCTTTTAATCTTGATCAAATTTATATTTTAAAAAAGGGGACAATAAAAGTCACCTGTTAGACTTGCTCACATCTGTGATTTGAGGTGGCTGGAAGGGTTGGAGGGAGAAAATCCTGGGAACAAAATATCCTGGAGCTGGAGTCAGTTGACAAATGATTTGTAAATCATAGTGACTACAGAAGAATCCCTATTGAAGTGGAGGGAGAGCCCCATCTTCCTTGATCAGCATCGACTCCCTTTATTCACTCCATCAGGCACTTTTTATAACAGTGTTAATTAAGTTCATGCATATTGCAAACCCGAGCTCACTATAGGTCAGAGATAACACACCAACTCCTCCTTATGTTTCCAATACCAAGATTTGGGTTCTCAAAATTATTTTTGCTTTCCCAAAACAGCCAAAGATAGAACATCCACTTGTTGTGAGAAAGCTGCCTGAGAACTCTGGTATGCAAGGTTCTCAAGGCCTTCATGTTTGTCACTTTTACTTGTAATTAAAGACAACCTGAGAACCTTTGCTGTTTACAGAAACTGGCTGTGAGAACCTGTCCCCCACAGCTGCCTTCCAAGCCATTTCTGAAAAAATCTCCAACAATTCCCAGTTTTTTCTTTTTTGCACAAGGAGGTTGGTATGCTGGGCTTTTCCATGGTTCCACTGACCCCATCCCGAACACCACCAAGAATACAAAGCAAAACAAACAAAAGCATTCAAAAGTACCCTCAGTATCTCTATAAGGTCCCCCAGCCATGGTCCGAGCAGTGGCTTTTACCCCAAAGGGTTAAAGGCTGTCAGCTGCCCTCCCTCAAATCCCTTTCTTGTCTGTCTGCAGGGGACTTGCACAGGGAGGGAGGGGAGATCTCTCCAGCTGCAGGGCAGGAAGGGAGTGTTTGGCTGTGAAGCCTCCCTGGTCTCCTCATGGGTTTGTCCCATTGGGTTCAGGATCCCCCATCTGTCCCCAGCCCTGAGTGACCCTCTCCCAGTCCCAAGGATTTCTCCCTGTGGTTTTTCCTTTTTGGCACTGGTGCTTTCAGTGGCTCAGCTTCACTGAGAGCCCTGGAATCACAAACCCTTGAGTTTGGAAAAACCCTCTGAGGCCATCAAATCCAGCTGTCCCCCAGCACTGCCAAGGCCACACTGCCCCCTGTCCCCAAGTGCCACATCCACAGGACTTCTGAATCCCCCAGGGATGGGGACTCCAGCTCTGCCCTGGGCAGCTGTGCCAGGACTTTTGCTTAAGACATTTTTTGCCCTGCTATCCATCCAAACCTCCCCTGGCACAACCTGAGGCTGTTTCCTCTCGTGCTGTCCCTTGTTCCCAGGGAGCACAGCCCAAGCCCCTGGCTCCAAACTCACCCCAGGTTTGGTTTTCCAGGGGAATTAGCAGAGAGCAGACCCTCAGTGCCATTTCTTGGCTCCCTGCTTGCTCTTCCCTCATTCCCCAGCAGTTCCTGGAGCTCCTGGGGCTCCTGGCAGAGCCTGGTGAAGGGGCCATGGATGCACTCCTGGACAAGCTCTGGGTTGAGACTTTGTGCAGAGAGAAAGACCCAGAACTGGGCATTTTCCCTGCATTTCAGCTTTATTAATGGCCCTCCCAAAGGTGAGAGGTGGAGACCTTGCTGTTGTGTCAGGTCACAGCATCAGCTCTTGCTGAGTGCTAAAGGGGCTCTGTGAATGTTGAGAAACCTCATTCTCTTAATAATTCTCTTGTTTCCACCTGTGGTGTGAACAGCAGTGACCATGAATGGGCAAGGTTCAGAAATCATGGAATATGTTGTTATTTCATCCCTCAAAAATAAATATTTCAAGTAATAGAGTGGTTGAACTGCAGGTCTGAAAGGTAATTGATAGAATTAATCCTGAACAAGAGTCACACAGGTTTAGTCCGTGAAACCCATTGCTTCAGTTTGTTAATAATCATCTTTTTGTTTGTCTCTTACCATGATTCTGATAATGTTTTTGTCATGGTGGCAGTTGCAGCCCTGCGTGCCCCACAGGCAGATCCATTCTGCATTTTGACTTCCTTTTCCAGTTATAACTAATCCTGAGAGTTTGATAGACTTTTGCAACTTGATTGCAATATAGAAATTGTAATTCAAATAAATTAGCAAAGTGTTTGAATTACTTGTTTTCTCTAATGGCATCTTAAAAATAGGTTCTGTGTTAGGGCTTTGGGGATTTGGGAGGTTTTTTGGTTTTGGGTTGTTTGTTTTGTTGGTTTTTGTTTTGGTTTTTGTTTGGAGATGTTGGGGTTTGTTCTCTTTGTGTTTTATTTTTAAAATATTTGTGCTGTGTTCTCACATAAGATGGAGGCATAATGGAGTTTAGAGCTCTGGGATTGCTTTTCCCTATTTCCAGGTAAGATGGGATTGTTTAACAATTACTTGTTCCAGGCATTCCAAAGTTCCAGTTCCCTTTTCAGGGATTTGCAGCTCTGGCTGGTTCCCTCTCCCAAGCAGATAAATCATGTTCAGACAAAGTTTGTGTGCAGTTATCAGGTCTGCAGTGCAGTTCTTGGTCTGTGCAATAGGGAAATGGAAAATTCTGTCTGGAATGCTGCAGGATGTTTGTTGATTGCTTTAGCTTTCCCTCTGAAATCAGTGCTTTTCTCATTTCAGCTCCATGGAAGCTCCTCATCTAGATTTGGCACAGAACTTTAGGTAAGCTTTCTATAAAATTACCATCTTTATATTTAGGGATAGAAACATTTTCAGTGAATTACAGGGAGCAAAACTTTGCATCCACAGTAATACCTTGGGAATTCAACAAATTGGTTCAGCAAGTTGTGTTTAAGCTTCTCCTGTAATTCCCTTTACAGATTACTTGGGTATGACCAAAACTCATCAGGGCTGGTGCTGCACTCACAGAGTTGTGTAATGATATTTTCTCCTTAAATTGGATTTCTAGGCAATAGAACTATGGAGGAACTATTTAAAACAGCATCTGTTTTTCCAGTAGCAGCAGTTTTTAGAGCATTCTGTGTCTAGCACGAGCTGTTTCTTTGATTTCCTTGGCTGATTTGCACCATTCAGAAGCAGTGGGAGTTGGATGCTCTCACAGCTGGGCAGGTGAGAATTCCCTGGGGCAGAGGAAAAGCTGGATGTGCAGGCAGCTCCTTCCCAGGCTGGGCTGTGACACTGTGGGCCTGGCTGTCACCTTCCCAGGCAGGGCAGGGAGTCATCAAACTGAGAGCAAAGGGAATTTCACCTGGAGCCTTTCAAAGCAAACAAAAATCCCTTCCTGGGTAATTAATGGCCCCTTAAAAGAAGTGTGTTAAAGATTCACTCTGGTGATTTCAGTGTTGAGTTTCTCATGGGTTTATTGCAAGTTTTTGCAATACCATTTGTAGTGTTTTTACTGGCCCTTGGTGTTAGCCAAGTCTGGGTTTGCTCATTGCAAATTTGGGGGCAGTATTTGGGCCATGCTGGGTTTGACTGAACTTGGATCTGTGACTTTGGTAAAAGGGGTTTCAGGAGCTTGTCCTGGGAGATTGTGTTAAAACAAAATTCCTTTCTAATAACTCTCATCTCCACAAATGCTGTGGTAGTTCAGAAAACACATGGGTTTGGTACAGAGGGATGAGAACAGGGTTGCTTTGGGTATTCCTTCACCAAGGACTGCAGTGTTGGGGTTTGGGGGGGCTCTGGCTCTTCTTACATGGATTTTCCTTTTTCCTGGTTTTGATTAATGAAAGTTCTTTTTTGTAAGAGAATTCCAGTTCATTGAATCCAGAATGGAAAGTTAAAACCAAAATAATAGAGGAGACTTTTTTTTGTTTGTTTTTTTTTGGTAAACATCAGTGTGCTGATCACTCCAGTGGTGTCTCAGGATCAGCCTTAGTTTGGATCCTTATTTTCTGTTTGTGAAGCTTTTGTGCTCCTCAGAATTCCAAACCTCTTCCCCAGCAGGCTCCTGGGCAGCTGCTGATCACTGGTCAATAACTGATCCTGCCTTAAACCTTTGACAGCTGGGTCTTCCCCTCAGTGACAGAAATCTGTGAGAAGATCACCTGTCAAGCATTGTTTTCCTGCAGATATTTTTCTTCCATAAATATGTAACTTGTGACTGGTGACAGGGGAAGGGAGAGTTGCTGAGCAGACCATGGAGGTGTCTCTGGGCAGCACTGTGAGTGAGGCTTTCCCTCCTTTGCAAGGCTTGGCTTGGGAGCTGAAGGCCAAGCAAGGCAGTGACCAGAAAATGTCACCTCTTAAACATTCCTAAACTTCGTTTTCCACTTTTTATTTGGATGTTGTCTGTGCTCCTTCAGCTGAGGAAGAGACCCATGTGCTAATTGTGCTCAGCACTGCCCTTCAGTGCAGCTCTCCTGCCTGACCCTGCCCAAACCTGGACATGAACAAACACTGGGAGTTAAAGGAGAGAGCTGGGAGTTAATCCTGTTCTGTTCCTGCCATTAAAGAGAAATTGGATTCTTTCTTCAGGGTTCTTATGCTGTTTATTATTGAATACCACATTTCTAGAGTACAGAATTTCCCCTTTTTTCTGGTAATGGACTAACAGAAGGTGAAACTCTTCAGCCTAACAAAATTTTTTGCTGCACCTTTCTGCCAGAATTACATAAATCAGGTTCCTTGCTTACCCCTCTCAGCACTGAAGTTTTCTCATGTTTTAGGAGGGCTAGACAAGGTTGTGTGTTGTCTGTAATGAGGTTGTTCCCTTTCCTTGATCAAGAATTGAGATAATATTAATGTTGCCTGGGAAGAGAGACAGTTGTAATGGTAATGAAGCCTTAGCACAGAGTTCACCTCTGAACTGTCTGTAAATAAAAATGTGGAGTTTCCCTTGTTTTCCAGGCAGCCCAAAGGATACAGCCATGAACTTTGAGGGAAACATTTCTCATTTTCATTCCTTCCTCACCTCAGAGCAGCTGGGATGTGCCACTTTCCAAGGGGAAGCAGGAATTGGTCACTTGAGTGGAGTCTGCACTCACCTGGGTGCAGGGAAGGGTTTGTGAGCACCCACTGCAGGTTTTTCATGGACAGCAGCACTTTGATCCCCTTTTCCACACCTTTCCTCCCTTGCATTCTTCTCAGATTTAGCAGGGAGAGCTGCTCTTTCAATACAGCAAGATTTCCAAATCCAAACAGGGGTTACTGGCTCAGAAGCAAACTGGCTTTCCAGAAGGTTCTGTAAGTGGAAAGCCATTATCCTGATGATTTGTGATCAAGCCAAAGGAGATTCTGTCTCTGGAGTCTCACTTGTTCCATGTTCACAGCCTGGATGGAGGTGCCAAGTTAATAGTGAGGGGCTGTGCCAGGCAGCATTTCACCAGTCTGAGTTAGAGAGACACTGTCACCTCAAGATCTCAATTGGAATGATTTTTAAAGTCAGTTTTCTGCTGCAGCACCTCATAAAAAGTAGACTTGAGAGATTGGGCAGTGGGGGATTGATCCTTCCTGTTGGAGGTGTGGAGAGTTTTTCTTCTTTTCATTCCAGAGGGTGACTCCAGGTCATGGCTCTGCCTGGGAGCTGATTTAGGTGATTTCCAGCCCTGTAGGCCCTGTGCCCTGCTCACTGCAACATCCCAGGCTGGAATTCCACATGAGGGTGATGCAGTTCCTCTCTCCTTGCAGCTGGAATCAGAGCTTTCCATCCTGATGCACAATGGGATAAAATCTCCTGCTCTGGAGAGGGATCCCACCCCATTCCCCATCCCTGGAGGAGGTCAGGGCACAGTGAGTCCCTCCCTGCCCATGCCCATCCCAGGGCTGGAGCCCCCGAGGTCAGGGCACGCTGAGCAGCTCAGGGGAGCTCCAGCAATGGCAGTGGGAGCAGCAGCTCCTTCCCCAAAGGCAGATCCTGCCCCCACTGCTCCCCACAGAACCTTTGGGTGCTCCCCTCATTCACTGCTGAGGAGTTAAAGTGCTCTGAGAGTGTTTTGTACACAACACTGTAAATAAAGAGCCCTTAATGGCTTAAATAAATCCCTGTGGCAGGAATGTCTGATGTTAGAGGGGATTATCTGGATCAAACTCTCAGAGCAGGAACAGAGTCAGTAACAGATCTCTGCCCACAAGATGTGTGAAATAATGAACTCAGATTCAAAGAATCTGAATTGTGCTCCTTAATCCAGATTCCTTCCTCACTTTCCCCCACCTCTTCTTATTTTCCAAGATATTTTCTCTGACCCACATCATTTTGTTTTATTGGCCCATCAAGCTGGGAGGGCATTTTGTCACCTCCAAAATAACAGGGATTGTATTTCAGGAATTGTTCCCTGCTAGTCATTAATTATGGAATAATTGAGGCTGGGGAAAACCTCCAAGATCAGGGAATCAGAATAAAAGGGACCAACAGAGATCATCGAGTCCAACCATTAACCCAGCCAAGGCCACCACTAAACCTTGTCTTTGTCTTTGTCTCTGACTTGTCTTTCAAGGGAGGAAATAAACAGGTTCAGAGCAGAGGTTCTGTTGAGAATCAGGGAGGAGGGAGTGTCTTGGTACAGCAATTACAGAAATCTGATGGTGGGGCTCTGTTTGAGTTGGGCCATCTCCTCCTTTCATGGTCCCCTTGTGAAGAGGGAATAAATGAATACACCTTCACTTCTCCTGGGAGAAGTGTATTTATGGTAGAAAACAAAATAAGTAATTTTCAATGTAATCTGTCCTGTCTTTCATCTGAAATTCAGCCTGCACTCTCTTGTAAATATTTCACTCACCAGAAACTTTTTTCCCCATAGGATTTCTGTAAAAAAGGGAACAGATACAAAGACTGTGGCACAGAGAAATGGTTTTGGATATGGGGCACGTTCATCTGTCTCACAGCTGTGCTGTGGTTTTGTTTCATCACACTTTCCTGTCAATCAAGTATTTGAGAATGAAACTCAGAAAAAAAACTGTGCCTGTAATAAAGTTCAGTTCTGAAATATATCCAGAGTGGAAGCCTGTCCCCCATGGACATGAAGCAACAAAATGAACTCAGGAATGTTTTCATATGTTACAGTAACAAATTCAGCCTTCTCTTGTTGAGCTGTTGCTCCAGTTGTGCTGAGTTTTAATCCCTTCCTGCCTTCCCAGAGCAGTGCAGGCAGGTGCTGAGTGTGGATTCCTGTCTGGCTCTCCAGGAGCAAGGTTGATGTGATGCTCTCCCTTTTCAAACCTTCTCTTAACTCGACAAACTTCAACGCATGTCTGCTCATATCAGATCTCAAGCTTTGGCATCATTTTATCCAAAAATGCAGTTGGATCCCTGCAGAAATGACTGCATGCCAAGCTGTCTGTGCTCAGCCTTCGCTTCTGGGAGTGCATAGGTGGGGCCTGCTCAGATTCATTTTGTGCCTTTGCATCTCTGCAGGAAGTTGAGATTGGAGAGTGCAGATGTCTCCTCGTTCAGGGTGGTTTGGCACTGGCAGAGGCTCCATCAGCGCCTCATAATCTGCACAGGCAGGCACTGAACTGTCGAAAGGATCTGAAATACTGCTCCCAATCCATGGCAGACAGGAATTCTTGATTATTTTATGTAATCTTGGCACTTGGAGAAACTTTCTGTCTCCGCCATGAAAAGCTGAAGTGGTTTTATCACAGACAAGATGTCAGCACAGCTGTGTTCCCCACTTCCATGCAGTTCATAGAACCCCAGAGTGGGCTGGGTCAGAAGGACCTTAAAGCTCCTGAAGTTCCAAGCCCCTGCTGCCATGGGGTTCTCCACAGTGTGTCTTTTACAGGGTTATCTTCTCCCAAACCCTTCCCGTGTAGCATTAAAGGCACATGACAAAGGTTCCTGGTCCTTGCTGAGGACACAAGGGAAAGGCACAGGGGTGTAAAGCAGCTGGTTCTGAATATTGGAGGTAATAAAAAATACAAAACCAGATAAATTCCTGGAAACTCACAGGCACCCCCACATACAGACATTCAGTGCACTCAGATACCTAAACACACACACAAGTACAAATTTACATACAGTGTTTTTAGTTATATATTTAGATAGAATAATAACTGTTTCCTTGCTGAAGTCCTTAAAACAGGATTGGGCTGTGCCACTGAACACGATGATAAAGAAATTCTTGATGAGTTTATGGAAGTACTTGGTGAGTTTAAGAATTAAATTAATTCTTTGGCGTTTCCTTAACAGCAGATGAAGTTCTCAATGGATATTTTATAATTTAGCATTTCTAATCCATCATTTCTACCTGTGGGCAGGGATGGCCATGCCCTAAGTTAAACCACCCCTGTGTGTTGTCCCCCTGTGCAGCTCCAGGAAGAGCCCGTGCAACAGCTCGGCTGCGAGCGAGGCGCGGCGGCCGGCGGAGCTCATCGGCCAGGAGGTGGTTCTGGTGTCCTTCCTGCTGCTCCTGCTCGTCTGGTTCCTGAACCGCGAGTTCGAGGTCAGCTACCGCCTGCACTACCACGGCGACGTGGAGGCCGACCTGCACCGCACCAAGATCCAGAGCATGAGGGATCAGGCTGACTGGCTGCTGAGGAACATCATCCCCTACCACGTGGCCGAGCAGCTGAAGGTGTCCCAGAGCTATTCCAAAAACCACGACAGCGGCGGGGTGATCTTTGCCAGCATCGTGAACTTCAGCGAGTTCTACGAGGAGAACTACGAGGGAGGCAAGGAGTGCTACCGGGTCCTGAACGAGCTCATCGGGGACTTCGACGAGCTGCTGAGCCAACCCCACTACAGCAGCATCGAGAAGATCAAAACCATCGGCGCCACCTACATGGCGGCGTCGGGGCTCAACACGTCGCAGTGCCAGGACAGCAGCCATCCCCACGGGCACCTGCAGACCCTTTTTGAATTTGCCAAAGAAATGATGCGGGTGGTGGATGACTTCAACAACAACATGCTGTGGTTTAACTTCAAACTGCGCATCGGCTTCAACCACGGCCCCCTCACGGCCGGGGTCATCGGCACCACCAAGCTGCTCTACGACATCTGGGGGGACACTGTGAACATCGCCAGCAGGATGGACACCACCGGCGTCGAGTGCCGCATCCAGGTGAGTGAGGAGAGCTACCGCATCCTCAGCAAGATGGGCTATGACTTTGACTACAGGGGGACGGTCAATGTGAAGGGGAAGGGGCAGATGAAGACCTACCTTTACCCCAAGTGCATGGACAACGGCATCGTGCCCCACCACCAGTTGTCCATATCTCCAGACATTCGGGTTCAAGTGGATGGCAGCATTGGGCGGTCTCCCACGGATGAGATTGCCAACTTGGTGCCTTCTGTACAGAATTCTGATAAGATTGCCCATGGCACAGATAGCTCAGAAGCCAAGGACATCCTTCCTCCCGCCAAGAAGCTCCAGAAGGACACGGCCAAGGCAGAGGAGAGGTGCAGGTTTGGCAAAGCCGTGGAAAAGGATGACTGTGAGGAGACGGGGACTGAGGAGGTCAATGAACTGACAAAGTTAAATATCTCTAAGAGTGTATGATGAACTGTCAGAGTTGCATGAAGTGCTCTGTCCATAGAAACACACAGACTTTTGCAATTGGCAGTTTTCTTTTCCAAGAGAGACCTTCTCCACCCCTGGGTTGTACGTTTGTGTTCATTTCGGCGCCTGGGGCTGTGTGGATCATGGCTCTTCAGGGCTTGTTTTCATCCATCTCTCTCCTCCATGCCCCAAACCACATCCCAAGCTCCCCAGCTCCCTGTGCAACCATCTTACAGCTGAGTAGAGGATATTAAGTGCCTTCAGATATACTCCATTGGACTCCCTGTCAAGGTACAGAGGCCCCAAGTGAAATCATAGCTTTGGGTATTTATCTAATTTTAAAGAAAAGAAAAAGCTGTGGTTATATCATTTTTATTGTCGTTTCTCACAAAACACTTTTTTTGGCTAATGCAACTCCTTGGGTTTTTTATATCTCTCGGAACAATGTTTTACTGTTATCAGACCTTTTGTATGTAACACACAGACATGTGCATGTATCTACCATATGAGACTGCTATAAAGTGCCAGTAATGCACCACAAGAATGTCTGGGTGAGGGGTGGCACCTTTGGGCCGGGCTGGAGGGGAGTTGTGCCGTGGCTCAGCCTTTAGTCGGGGCAGGAGGAGCAGCTGCTGCCCTTCTGTTCTCCTTTCCCCATGCTTCTGCAGCCTCCATGTGCCATCGTGTGCTTTGGATACACTTCTTTTCCATATAGCCAATGAGTTACTGATCCTGGGAATGGAAGGAGGGTTGGGACAGTGCCAGCTCTGGGGACAGATGTCCAGAAGCAGGAGAGACCACGGGAGTGCTGCAGTTCAGGGCTCCCGGCTCCGTGTGCAGCTCGGTGGGTGAAGGTAGGTGACATCGGTGTCTCGGAGCTGATTGGAGAGAGACAGAGAAGCAAAATAAATGTTTTGGGAATGCCTTTATTTATTTATTTATTTTATTCCTGTTTGGTTTCTTGGGGTTTTGTTAATTTCGTTTGGGACTTTTCGTGGAAGGGACTGGGAGAGATAAATCATTCATGGGTTTCATGGGAGTGATGAGACAGAGTTTGAGCCTCTTTGAACTACCAACCACTGTGAGGATGTTACCTTTGGCAATATTTGGTCCCAAGCTGGTGACACTTTGGAAGCCACCAAACACAGTTGAGTATCCCAGCTTCCCTCTGGACTGAACCAATGGTGCTGCACAACATTTTCAGGATTTTTACACACACCCACACCCACATGCACACGCACACACGCACACACGCACACACACACACACACACCTCTGTGCTTTTGCAGCAGGGAGGAAATCAGAATGCTCCCTTCCTGCTGCTGCAAGCAGGAATAGGGAGCAGAGTCCTTGTGGTGAGCTGAGAAGCACAAACATTTCCCAGCCCTGCAGAGAGCTCAGTGCAGGTCCCTGGAGCAGAGCCTGCAGGAGCCCAGGAGCTGCTTGCACAGAGGGAGCTGGGCCTGGGGGCTTGGGCTGTGCCAGGCTGTGCCCTCTGCACGCTTCCACCACCTCCCTCTCTGGCATTTGGTGCCCTGCTGGGGATCGTATTGACCATTGAACTGTTCTAGTTCAGCCAGCTCCCTCTGACACCAAATCAAGTGAGAGGATTTTTATTCCCAAATCAAGCTGATCAGCCAGGGAAGAGCTGAGGAAAGGTGGTGCTGCACTGGCTGCTGATGGAATGGGGGCTCTTTCCATCTGAACTCAACTCAGAATGCATTGATTCTTCCTCTCATCCCCATGTGATTTTGGGGTATGAGTAATAAATGTATCCATGGTGGGGTTCCTGTTCCATCTCCTCTCCACAGTCAGCCTGGAGCCTGTGAAGCCTTTCTGAGATGTGACTGTGGGATTGCTGGATCTCAGTTAAACAGAACTCTGTGCACAGGTCCTGCAAAGCTGCTCTTTATCCATGTCAGTATTCCATTGATAGCAAAGCTGCTCAGTGTTCATCTTCTTCTCTCAATCTGCCAGCACACAACAAACCAGGGGATCCTCACCCCAAATCCAGGTGCCACAGATGCTGTTGCCTGTTTGGAGGCTGTTCCCAGTGAGCAGCAATGTGAGTGTTTTGAGGGCAGAGTTTTCCAGCAGCTTCCTACTCCCCTAGATTACAACTTCCCCCTCCCCACAGTGGGTTGTCCTTCCAACTTTCAGGTAGTAATTCTGCAAATACCTCTTGCATCTGAAGAATGTGTTCCTGACACCATTGTTAGGGTTCTTGGTGCAGTTAAGGTGTGTCAGTATTCCTTTTCCTACAGTCAAAGAGCTAACATGATCCAGAATTGTTTACATGCCTTCCAGTGTTACATTATTACCTTAGAGTCCTTCCAGCCTTTCTCCCTGACGCTCCTTTCTCCAGTTTTACAGACCCTGCCCATCCTTGCTGTCTCCCTGCTCAGCTGTGTGCAAGGGCAGAGCTCAGCCAGGAGGCTCTGGCTCCTTGAGACCTGCACAACAACCAAACCTGCACCAGGAGAGGTTGGCAACCTCTGGTTAAACCCAAAGGAGAAGGTGCTGGATGGGACCCTGGACCCCAACCACCTTCCCCTTCAGTGTTCAGGAGGCAGAATCCTTCTCCTCCAGCCCATAAAGGACACAAGGTTCCCATGCTGCTGTGGTGTGGGGCTGTGGGATCTTTGGATTTATGGGAACATCCAAATACCAAACTCCAAACCCACCAGGGCCTCTCTTTGTTGGCACTGAGCAAATCAAGGCACTGAGGACAGCAGCTCTGGTGCACTCAGAAATCAAGGGCTGTTGTCTGCTCTGGGAACTGCCAGTGATGTGCTCTGCCTTAACTGGATTGGGAAAAGGCTCCTGATGGGTGACCAGTGGTGCCCTGTTTGCTCCTTGCCAGGACAGCAGCAAGAATTCCACAGCTTGGGCTGCCAGGGGTTAAATCTCTTCAGTGCAGGGTAGTAACCAAATCAAGTTGTTCAGTTCCCAATGGATGGTTTGGAGGGGGAGGTTTCTACCTGTTTGTGTTGCAAACCAGTGTGAGCTGAACCTTCACACCTCCCTTGATGCTGTTGAAGATTTATCCTGACACAGAAATGACTCTGGAGGCGTTTCCAGCAGTGGCTGTGCTGCTGTGGGAGGCCCCAGGAGAGTTCACCCCATGAAATGCCTGTGCTGTGGTGCTGTGGGTGCCAGCAGTGCTGTCAGTGAACCTGGGGGCTGGCTGGGTCCCCACGGGTTTATTCCACAAGGACAATCCATCCCTGGCTGTGCTTCCAATCTTTAGGGTGGTTCAATAATTTAAAAATGATCCAGAGAAGGGGACTGGGGAGGTTGCTGAGTATTTGTGAGCCCTGTGTTGCCTCCTGCCCCTTGCAGCACCTGCTCCAGGGTGCAGAGTGAGAGTGCCCAGAACACTGTCAGCACTGAGGTCTCAGTCTGCTGCTGACACACCAAGATGCTTTTTCCTCCCTGCTGCTCCTGTGAGAGATTTCTCATTGAGAACCAGGTAAATGGCATTGCCATTGTTTAACTTCTGCCATCAGGACTTTGAGAAGGGTGGATTTGCTGTTATGTAACGTGAGCAGAGTGGGACAGTGCCACGGTGTGGCTGCAGCTTCTGCTGTGCCCCAGGAGTGACAATGAGGGGAGGAAAGGGTGGCTTCCCCAAGGGCTTTTCACAAAACAAAAGTATTTGGATCCCTTTTTTTAGGGCTAAAACACAGAAAGGAGGTGTCCAGAGCAAAACTGAAGGGAGCACCCTGTCCCCATAGCAGCTTTAGCTGAAGAGGAGTTTATTCCTGAGTAAAAGGCCAAGTTTTTAGGGTTTCTGGAATTTTAAAATTGCTAACTCTGACCTGTTTCTAAAGCTTTCAGTCTGAATACATCAAAAGATGTTGCAGGGGAGCAGTTAATTCACATCACAACATCTCAAGAGGCTGAGGGTGCCTGAGATTGGCTGTAACACCTTTGACTGTTTAAATCTGCACTTGGGCTTGGGGAGGTTCAAAAATTCAAAAATTTGTTTTCTGCCTTCTTCCCTGCTGTGGTCTCTCATTCTCCATCTAGATGGGACACACAGGTGGCTGTTGCCCTCTGCTCCTCACCTTTGGGAACCTTTGTCTTCCTCATGGCACAGCAGCTGCTGAGCTGAGCTCAGGGCTCTGGGTGCTGCTGGTGCCTCCCTGTGTCCTGAGGAAAGGGGAGATTGTGTTTGCTTGGATGCCTTGGTCCATTCTGCCTGGTCACAGCTGCAGCTTCCTCCTCCTGGTGCTGACAGAAGATACAGAAGAGGCACATCCCTGCAGTTGAATTTAAGAATCAAATTTAAAAATGCAGGTGTTGTTTATTGATGTGATTTTTCCAGTTGCTGGGAATGCCAGAGGGGTGGTTTGGCTGTAAGAACAGAATGATTTGCAAGTGGGGACAGTTGAGGTGGAGGTGCAGGGATGACCCAGTGCCCTGGCACTGCCACCTCAATGCCCAGGCAGCTGTGAAAAGCCAGCTGAAGTCTCAGGGCACTGCTGAGGTTTGATTGGCTGCTTGTGGAACATTGATTTGTGCAGCAAAGCCGTTTGCTCCAATGCTTTTCTCCTTTTGAGTTCTCTCTGCAGGCTGTTGCAGTCCTTGGTTTGTTTCCTGGGGTAAAACTTGAATTGCCATTGCTGAGACTGAGCTGTGCAGGCAGTGGCAGTGGGATTCTGCAGAATCCTATAGGAAAGTTGGAATTAGTGACCATTCCTCAGCATTCCTGCAGGCCCTGGGGCTGTGTGAGTGCTGCCATGGTGTGAAGGTGTCTCAGTTCAGAGCTGCAGGTGGGACTCAGTGTCATCCTTTGGCTCCATATGGTGGCGTGCCTCCAGCTCTGGAGCTGTGGGGACAAGGAGAGGGGAATGTGGAGTGAGCTCCTGGCTGGATTCAAGGCTGCTCTGTGTGTCCAGGAGTGCTGTGCAGGAAGGTGTCTCAGCGGTGGAGCAGTGCCTCAGTTTCCCAAGCTGTTCTTGTTTTCTGGGGCAGGGAAGCAGAGAGCTTTAAAATGGGCTGTTTTTATTAAAATCTGCATTAACACCACCCCCTGAACTCTGCACAGAGAGCTTTATTGGTGAAAGTCAGACAGCAGGAGCTGATTGCCTTTGTCTTATTTAAAGAGTTTGTTTAAAATGAAACAAAAGGCTCTGTAGAAGTTGAAGGAGAAAATAAAATGAGTAGAATATGTCTTGTTTTGACAGTGGTGCAGTTAGAGGGTGCCATGGAAAGGAAGTTTGAGGTGCTTTGCAAACACTGGGTAGGGCTCTGGTAGGAAAAAAAAAAATCCAAACATTTTGTATAAAATCTCTTCCAAGTCTTTGTGGTGTGAACTGCACTTCTGTCTCAGCCCTGATAAGGGGCTGGGCTGTACAGCACGTACAGAACTGTTTGCTCCTTGCCTTGGGGAGTCAATATTGGCTTGGGAGAAAGAAGATTACTTTGGACAAAACAGATTGGTGGGAGATAGTTAAAGCTTTTTTATTTTCCTTGTTCCTTATTGTAGCTGCTGAAGCTGTGCTGCCCTAGCCCAGCTGCCCAGGCAGGAGCTGAGGCAGAGGCTCAGTGTGTTCCCATCCCTGCTCATGGTGGAGCTCAGCGTCCTCCTCAGGAGCTGACCCACAGGGGAGATCACGGTCTGAGGCTGCAGCCCTTGGTGTTCTGCACTCCTGGAATGGCCCCAGGCTGCTGTCAGCACCTCCTGTCCCAGCCTTGCTGTGCTTTGCTGCATTCTCTCCCTGTTCTCTGGCTCGCTGCAACAATTGCACAGAATCCCAGAGTGGTTTGGGTTGGAAGGGACCTTAAAGCCCATCCAGTGCCACCCCTGCCATGGCAGGGACACCTCCCACTGTCCCAGGTGCTCCCAGCCCTGCCCAGCCTGGCCTTGGGCACTGCCAGGGATCCAGGGTGGGCACCCTGTGCCAGGGCCTGCCCCCCCTCA